CTGCGTATAGCCACGCGAGGCTATTGGCTATAAGGGATTACGGCAGGATTACGCTAGATATAGCGCGCCAGTACATCCCGAGCTTGGTCGGTGATATAATCATAACAACAGGATAAACCAAAGGATAATGGAAAAGGAGGAATAGGAAACCAAATGAGATGAGATAAAGACCAAATGAATCAGGAGTGAAAGAGGAATGAATTAGAAAGGAAATATGGAATGGGGAAAATAGTGTAACGGGGTCGTACTCTCACAACTGTAGCTCACGTAGTTTGTTGCTGCCACCTGTCGTTTGACTTCGGTCTTCAGCCCGGCGGGGTACGACTGTACTTTTTTCCCCTCGGTTAGGTCGGGAATTCGGATATAAAATTCCTCCATCTGCTGCGTATACTGCGCTACACTCCCGAACTGTCGATGGATTTTTCCCGGTCAAGGAAACCCGAATTTATCGGCTTGAAATGTTTAAGCAGGTTGGTGCGGAACTGCTGCCACGTGGCTTCGCCGTGGATGAACATGCTGTTACCGCCGATCCACTCGAGTGCCGGTCCTCGCATCAGTGTCGCCGCGAGTCGTACGCGTTGATCGTCCCAGACTGACGAGCTCCATCCGACGGCTGCGAAGTAGATCTCCATGCCGGCGATCCATATGCGGACGTCGGAGTTTCGATCGCTCGGATCGAACGGCTCAGGGGGGCGCAGTTTCGGAGCCTCGAAAAACTGCTGCGTCGTCGCCGTTGTCGAGTCGTGCTGCGCTCCAGCGAGTCGAGTTACTCGCTCGAATTCGTTTCGCCACGATTCGCGATCCGCTCGCATCTCCTCCTGAAGGGCTGCGATGCTCGCGAAGAGCTGCTGGGGGGGGTCGTTGTCGAAGGTCGCCGTCCTGTTGAAAACACGCGCGCGGGAGGGGGTAATTCGAAAAATCGCGGAGCTGGTGCTTACCAGAATCGGCGTCGAGTTGGTCGCCCCGGGCGGTTTTTCGAGGCAGGTTTTCCCGCAGCTGCTGCTTTGTTGAGCGCGGCCGAGTGAGAAAAGCTCTGATTACCAAGTGTCACAAGATCGAATGTGTCGAGGAAAGGTTGCACTATCGATCAGTACAAGGCGCTTTTATACTTCCAAAGTATATCAGGTAACCAGGTTTATCATATCCCAAGGGAATAGACCCTTCTAGAAAATAGAATCACCATGCGTATAGCCACGCGAGGCTATTGGCTTTAAGGGATAACGACAGGATTACGCTAGATATAGCGTACCAGTACATCCCGAGCCTGGTCGGTGATATAATAATAATAACAGGATAAACCAAATGATAATGGAAAATGGAGAATAGGAAACCAAATGAGATGATATTAAAAGAGAAATGTAATAGAAAGGAAATAGGGAAGGGAACAAGTGGTGTAACGGGGTCGTACTCTTACACTAAGGCACTTGCGCCTAAATATCATCAGCGGCACTGTGTACAGCTTGGTCTAGTTCTAGTAGCTCCTCACTTATTAGGACCCTGATTGTGTACTACTCGTTATATAATTTTGACTGGCCCTATGGCTCTTGTTCCAGTGGCTGGACTAGTAGTGCCGCCCTAGGTTACTCTTGTTCAGTTTGTACTCTTGCTGACTGGTCTTCATTCAGACCCTTGCCTTTGAGGTTGGACAAGTAGTGCTGCCCCCAGTTGCATGTCTCTTGCTAGGCACTGCCCCTTTTCTAGCCTGGGGTGTGTGTCAATATATATATATTTGTAGTTATAGGCTCGATAGGTGCATGCTCTTAGACAGTACAACATACAAGAATAAGAACACCCTGTATGCTCTTGCCTAGATTCAATTCGCTATTCTGAGACGGGTGATTATAGGCGCGAACCTACTGTTCACGTGTTGAGTCGCTACTGCTGACGTCATCACACGCGTCCTTCCATATGAGGTATCGCGCTACGAGTGTTTTACCCTGATTGCCCTTGTCAGCGGCTGATTTTTCAAGATCACCCTGATTTTGTAAGGGCATTTTTTCCGTGACCCTTAGTAAAAAAGTGTAAGATTGCTTTTACCCTGTTGTAGTAAGAGTACTTCCAGTTCTACCCTGACCAGACAGGGTATCGCCGAAATCACACTGAAACAGAAGAACGGCCCACATATTCGACAAGTTTCTGTGTCCAGCTGGCGTCGCACTGCATGTGTGATTTTGGCGAAGGGCCAATCAGGCCCCTTATACCTGCTCCAGCTCGAGTCGGACTGCATCTTTGATTTTGTTGAAGGGCCAGTCAGTCCCCTCACACCTGCTCCAAGTCGCGTCGGACCGCCTGCTTGATTTTCTCAAGGGCCATTCAGTCCCCTCACACCTCCTCCAGCTCGCGTCAGACTGCATGCGTGATTTTGGCGAAGCTCCGCCGCCATCAGGAACAGTCCAGTGCGGTGCAGGGCAGTGCAGCTAGGTGGGGTGCGGTACAGTGCGGTACAGTGCGGTAAAGCGCGGGACAGTGCGGTGCAGTGCGGTGCAGTGCGGTACAGTGCGGTGCAGTCGGTGCAGTGCGGTACAGTGCGGTGCAGTGCGGTGTAGTGCGGTGCCAGGCAGTACAGTGTGATGCGGGGCGGCACGGAGCAGGGCGGGGTGGGGGGGAACCGTACCAGTGAGGAGGACGGGGCCGGGGCTGGCCCGACGGGGCCGGCCGGGCGCGACGGGGCCGGGCTGGTGCGACAGGGCCGGGACGGGGCGACGGGGCCGAGCGGGCGCAACGGTGCCGGGCTGGGGCGACGGGGCCGGGCGAGTGCGGCAGGGCCGGGCCGGTGCGACGGGGCCGGGCGAGCGGGACGGCGGCCGGGCGGGTGCGACGGGGCCGGGCGACTGCGACGGGGCCGGGCAGGGTGCGACGGGGCCGGGCGGGTGCGACGGGGCCGGGCGGCGGCGACGGGGCCGGGCAGGGTGCGACGGGGCCAGGCGGGCGCGACGGGGCCGGGCGGGTGCTACGGCGCCGGGCGGGCGCGACGGGGCCGGGCGGCTGCGACGGGGTCGGGCAGGGTGCGACGGGACCGGGGGGGGGGGGGGGGGTACGACGCGGCCCAGGAGGGCCGCTACGGGGCCCAGGAGGGGCGCAACGGGGCCCAGGAGGGGCGCTACGAAGCCCAGGAGGGGCGCGACGAGGCCCAGGAGGGGCGCTACGGGGCCTAGGAGGGGCGCGACGGGGCCTGGGAGGGGCGCGACGGGGCCCAGGAGGGGCGCTACAGGGCCCAGGGAGGGCGCGACGGGGCCCAGGAGGGGCGCTACGGGGCCCAAGAGGGGCGCGACGGGGCCCAGTAGGGGCGCTACGGAGCCCAGGAGGGGCGCGACGGGGCCTGGGAGGGGCGCGACGGGGCCCAGGAGGGGCGCTACGGGGCCCAGGAGGGGCGCTACGGGGCCTGGAAGGAGCGCGACGGGGCCTAGGAGGGGCGCTAGGGGGCCTGGGAGGGGCGCGACTGGGCCTGGGAGGGGCGCGACGGGGCCCGGGAGGGTCGCTACGGGGCCCAGGAGGGGCGCTACGAAGCCCAGGAGGGGCGCGACGAGGCCCAGGAGGGGCGCTACGGAGCCTGGGAGGGGCGCGACGGGGCCTGGGAGGAGCGCGACGGGGCCCAGGAGGGGCGCTAGGGGGCCTGGGAGGGGCGCGACAGGGCCCAGTGAGGGGCGCGACGGGGCTAGGGGGGTCGCGACTGGGCTAGGGGCTAGAGGGGTGAGCGGAAGCGGTAGGTGGGGGGGGATCCTACCTACGCGTGATACCATATCAGAATTGAAAATTGAATAATGGTAAAGTGAGAGTACACACAAATATACTTAAGTATTGTACCCTCTAAGAGGTGACCCTATACAGTCTATACAAACATGACAAATACACATGTTTGACAATATTGTGCTATATAATTGTTAGGCTTGGTAGGTTACCGAACTTTACTGTAGAGGGTACAATCCCCTCCTTGTATGCCTCTCTCTTTCTATTCCAACTCTCTTTTCTCTCCTCAACTTTTCTCCTTCCCTAGTCTCACGCCACTCCATGGCTCCTCCTAGCTTAACCTCATGCATTTCCTAGCTTCTTAGCTAAGCTAGCCTTCTAACATGCTATCAAAGTAGGAGGTCCTCCCTGCTGGACCGCCTCCTCACGCTTCCACCGCGTACTCCTCACCCTCGTTCGCTCGCGCGGCCAAGGCGGCCGCGTTTTGCTGCAGTGGTGGCGTCGTGATGCCGCTGGCCGCGTCGTGCCGCGGCCGTCCCGACGCGCTGCCGTGGTGTCGGGCCGTCGTGCTGCCGTCGCAGCGTCGACGTTCCGCCGCGGCGTCGACGCCTGTGGCGCCGCTAGATCGGCCACCCGCATGTCAGCCTGTGGCGCCCCCCCCCCCCCCCCCCCCCCCCTTCCTTCCCCTGTGTCCTCTTCCTCTCCGCAGACGACGGCTGACTCCCGCCGGCCGTCCCACCGTCGCAGGGCCTGGCCACGTCACCGAGAGGTGCGGGCGCCGCCGCCGCCGCCGCTGTTGTCGAAGCCGCCGCCGTCGCCGCTGTCGCCGCTTGCGTCGGGGCCACGCAGCCGCACGCCGCCGCCGCCGCCGCTGTCGACACTGCCGCCGCTGCCGCCGTCGCCGCCGCAGCCCCTGCGGTCGACGTCGCCGCCCCACGCGCCGAGGGGTCAACCAAGCTAGTGTCGCTGTCACTGTGGCTGGAATGGGGGGTGCTAGGTTAGGGGGTGTGGGGGTGTGTGTGGGCTTGTGACTACCAAGCCTAGGGGGTGTGTTAAATTACATATTGAGTTATATAATTGTTAGGCTTGGTAGGTTACCGAACTTTTCTGTAGATGATACAATCCCCTCCTTGTATGCCTCTCTCTTTCTATTCCAACTCTCTTTTCTCTCCTCAACTTTTCTCCTTCCTAAACCTCACGCCACTCCATGGCTCCTCCTAGCTAAACCTCATGCATTTCCTAGCTTCCTAGCTAAGCTAGCCTTCTAACAGCAGAGCCATGCGGCAATCCCGTTATAGCAGTGTACGTCTTACTAAAACCTGTGATAAGGAAATACCATTTCCTTACTGTGTGACTCCTTTGATGTACATTAGAACAGTTGTAAATAGTTTCTTAACTACATTGACAATCCCCCTGCCCCCTTTCCCTCCTCTATTTCAGCAGTACTATGGTTTTCACCCCTGAAGGGTTTTATCACATAAGAAAGTGACACCGTGTAAGGATATCATATGGCCCTGAGAGCAACTTCAATTCTGCAACAACCGGACCCATTTTTCTGGTTCGGGCGACTTGGCGAAAGGCAGGCGCCTGCCGCTTGTTGCAGGCTTGATTCAGCCGCGTGCAGCAGATACATCGAGCCGCAGCTTTGGGTGGTTATACCGGCACTCGTTGCCGAACCTGCAATTGCCGGTCCTGACATAGTGCTGAGGGGGGTTGGCAAGGGGTGGGATGTTGTGCGGGAAATGGTTGAGGAAGAGAAGGCGGGAGAGGGGGGGGGTGGGGCGGGGGGGGGAAAGAGATCGAAGGGGGGTAGCGTGAGCACCAGCAGGAGCATCAGCACGAATAGTCACTACCTGCTGACAATCCAAATAGAATCGAGGCAAGACAAGGTAGAGTTGTGACAGGCAGCGACGAAGATTTGCAAAAATGGGAGAAATTGTGAGAAGGATACAGTACAGCAGCACTTCAAAACCATGTGTTACAAGGCCCATGTGTTACAAGGCCCATGAGTTCATACATCAAGCATGGTGGCATGCAGCACAGCACAACGTACAGCACAGTCGGGCAGGCCCGGCCTCTCCGGGTGCTTCTGGTGGTGGTACAGTCGCAGGCGAGGCCCCGCAGGCAGCAGCCACGCCTCCGATAACTGCTCCTCCCACTCCTCCCACTGGCCCTCCCCCTGCCGCCGGTTCTGCCGCTGCTGCGGCTGCTGCTGCTGTGGTGGCTTGGAAAACAATGCATTTGGAAGGCAAGCAGACGCAGCAGCAGCTGCAGCATCCCCACGAGCCGTCAACGTTCTGCCCTCGCTGCTGCTGCCCTCCAATTCCACTGTGGCGCATGCTGCTGACGTGGCAATGGATGGCGCTGGTGCTGTGAACGCTAGCCTTGTGGCTAAGCCTGGTGTCGAAGCAGAGGGTGGGAGGGTAAGAGGGTGGGCACAGCCGCGCGCTTTGAGTAATATGTCCACAGCGCATGGACACTGTAACATTCTTCTCTGCCAAGGGGAGCGGTGCGGACGAGAGACACACACGGCGTGCGACACGTGAGTTGTAACATGCGACATGTGCTTTAGTAATCATCGAGGCATTAGCATAAAAGGGATAATGAGGGCGCTATGGTCGGGTTTTTGTAGCAGGAAGCTTGACCACTGCACCATGTGGGTGTGCGTTGTAGACACGAGGGGTTTGGCAGGAGGAGAGGAAGGCTTATAAAAAAAGAAAAAGGAAAAAAGCAAGCAAGGTAACACAAGCTTGTGGAGGACTGACTGATGGTAACACCACACAAACAAAGCTGATACAGGTGTCCATCATAGCATACCCGCAGTACAGGGGGAATCTAGTGCATACGGGGAGGGAGGAAGGCCCGGTGGTGTCGAGGCATGTGCGGGTGGTTGAACTTGCAGGCTGTGCCAAAGCGACAGCTGGTGGCAATAGGGGTGCGGACAGTGTGTGTTCGAAGTGGGTGGGAAGGGGGGGGGGGGAGAGAAGGGGAATGGAAGGAAGGGATGGGGTGAGGGGGGGGGGAGAGGAAGCGACAACAGAGGGAAGACAGGTTAGAGCACACTCGAGGAAGGGAGTGGGCCATGCGGAGAGGGCGGGGGAAACCGGAGGTGGGAAGGGAAGACACAGTGCAAGGAGCAAGGAAGTGCCAGTGTGGCACAGCCGCGGACTTGGCTTAAGTGGTATGAGAACAGCATGATGTGCATGCGCTTACTTTCCACACTTGAGGTAAAATGAGCAATCAGGCCTCTCCTGAAATGCAAGAGGCGTGGAAGCAAGAAAAAAGAGGTGAGGGAGGAGAGGGCGCATGAGGAGAAGAAAGCAGCACAACATGAAATGCATGGTGGTGGAATGCGTTACTCGTGACCAACACAGCACCGGCCATGCACAGCGAAGAGATGAACAGAGAGTGAGTCACGACCGACGAGGCAGTGCGGAAGGGAGGCACGTACTGGGCGCAGTGGGAGGCCCCTCAAGTTGAGCGAAACACAGTACGGCGCTGCTGCTGCTGCCGGCGCTGCTTCTGCCGCTGCTGCTGCTGCTGCTGCTGCTGCTGATGATGATGATGATGATGATGATGATGATGATGATGCTGCTGATGCTGCTGGGGGTGCCCTCAACGCATCATCTGGTGCAGACGTGGAGTGTGGGGCGCTGGAAAGAGGCAGCACGGATGCCATAGCCGCCGTGGCTGCTTTAGATGATGAGAAGGTTGACGTGGGGGACAAGGGGGGGAAGGAGGAGGAGGTGGAAGAGGATGGGGAGTAGGACGGAGAGACACCCACTGGGAAAAGCGAGTCTGTGGGCATTGTTGGTGGTGCTGCTCGTCCCTCAGTTGGCGGTTGAAGCGTCACAAGATGAGCTAATGCTGGGCTACCTGATAATGGCTGCACTTGTGCTTCTGGTTGACTGCTCACGCACAGTGGCTGTGGTGGTTCAGCACAAGGCGAGCACGTGGTGGGAGCCATAGATGTGCACGAACCATGCCATTCATCCGATGCAGCACCCGCGCTTATCGGGTGTGCATGTGCATGTGGATGTGCATGTGCATGTAGTAAGGGCATGGGAATGGGATGTGGCAACTGACTCATGCTGATCCCTGCCCATTCAAGTCCTCTGCTCAGCGCATGCTCATCGCCAGCAGCAACACCACCAGGGGCAACACCACCATCAGCACCATCAACACTTAAATCCGCAGCGGCAGCAGCAGCAGTAGCAGCAGCAACACCACCAGCATCAGCACCACCGGCAGCAGAAAAGCCGAGAGCCAGTCCCGACCATAGCTCCGCTGTCGGATCCGCTGGCGCAGGCATGCGCCCAGTGAAGCTGTCCCCACTGCCGTCCATGAGCCATGACGACATCACATGCGCCTTCACCTCATGCACACCGCACGCCAGGGACGGCTGGCTGGATGACACGGCATGGGGGAACGGCGTGGCTTGGTGCGGGTACGGGGGGAAAGCAGGCATGGAAGCAGGTATGGGGGCCGGCACGGGAGGAGCGGGAGACACATGGGAGCTGCTGCTGCTGCCATCGCTGCACGTGCTGTCGTCACTGCTCACGCTGCTTCGTCCTCCAATGCCATACCCGCTGCTGTTAAAGCTGCCGCTCATATTGCCACTGTTAATCCACCTGCTCGCTCCTGCAACCTCTGAGTCGCTGCCGTTGCTGCTGCTATTGTCGCTGCCATTGTTGCTGCCGCTGCTTAGCTCCCTGCTGGGAAACCACGACTCGCTATAAGCAACCCCTGTCCCGTTATAAGCAGCCTGTGTCTGCACAGAGAGGGGCGAGAGCGCTGAAGGTATCGAGCCTGGCCCAGAGTTGAGGTGTGGAGTGAAGGGATGGCAATGATCGGTTAATGGAGTGGCAAAAAGAGGAGGAGCGGCGAGGATGGGAGTGAAGAGAGGGAGAGTAAAGGTTGCGGTAGTGTCGGTATCTGTGAGGCCAGTGCATTGGGCCCCCTTGGTCCCACTGCTGCACACGTCAATACCACCCAACGCACTGCATCCACCACGTGGACGTGTTCCAGCACAGAAGCCACCAGCAGCACTGAAACCAGCATCGGACACAGCAGCTTCACAAGCATCAGCAGCAGCAGCAGCAGCAGCAGCAGAAGCAGGGAGGAAATGGTTACCCCTGAGCCTCGGATGCGCCTCAAAAGCTGTAGGTACAGCCACAGCAGCATACGAGGTAGAGCCATGGGGGTAGGCAGCGGCAGGAGCAGCAGCAGCAGCAGAAGCAGCATCAGTAAGAGGACACGGCAGAGAGGGAGGGGGAGGGGGAGGAGACAGAATGGCGCACAGTGCAGAGGGGGTGGCGACATGGTTGGTGCTGTGAGGGAAGTGAGAGTGTGGCGCGTCAGTGTCAGCTATGAGAGCGTCTACGGCTGCATCTAAGACGAGCAGCTCTAACAGGCCATCCGCATCCCCATCCTCCCCTTCCTCCCCTTCGTTATCCCCATTTCCATCAGCAGCGCCCTCCCCCTCGCCATCAACATCAAACCTATCAAGCGTAGCCACCCATGTGCCTTTGCCTCCCCCAGGGAATCCAACACCAGCAGCAGCAGCAGCAGCACTAGCACCAGCAGCAGAACCAGCAGCAGCAGCAGCAGCACCACCAGCAACAGCAACAGCAGCCGCCGCAGCAGCAGCAGCAGAATCAAGAGCATGAACCCCTGCCATCCGGCCCTGGCACGTACCCGCAACCGCCTCCTCCCTCCCCACACTCTCTTCCAAACCACCCCACTCCTTCTCCCCCCCTTGCGGCCGCCCCTCGTGGCCCATCGTTCCATCTGCTACAGACAAAACGACAGAGGCAGCCGGGCAGGTAGGTGTGTTGGCGCTGCTCACCACCCTTCGCCCAGCCTCCCCAGCCCGTCCCTGAACACCTTCCTCCCATCGGGCCAGGGCAACGTAGGTGCTCTCCCGCTCACCCTCCTGGAAACCAACAATCTCCCTCTCCTTCTCCTCACACATCCCACCCCCTCTCTCCCGCTGTATCCAAACTCCCGCTCCCCTCCCTGCGTGCACCTGCGCTGCTCCCACCACCTCCAGTGCCCCGTCCCTAGGCCGTCCACTGTTATATGCCACCCCTCTCCTCTGCTTCCCCTCTGCTCTGTCCTGCCCGTCCTCGTCTTCCTCGCCCCGCTCTTCCAGGGACTGCTCCTCCTCCGTACCATACATGCTGTTGCTGCCTGCCATGCCTTTGTCTGAAGCCCCTTCATGGTTCACCTGCAGCAGAGCACACATGCGTAGGCGCGAATGGCTCACTTGCACAGGGGCGAATGGCTCACTTGCACAGGGGCGAATGGCTCACTTGCACAGGGGCGAATGGCTCACTTGCACAGGGGCGAATGGCTCACTTGCACAGGGGCGAATGGCTCACTTGCACAGGGGCGAATGGCTCACTTCCACAGGGGCGAATGGCTCACTTGCACAAGGGCGAATGGCTCACTTGCACAGGGGCGAATGGCTCACTTGCACAGGGGCGAATGGCTCACTTGCACAAGGGCGAATGGCTCACTTGCACAGGGGCGAATGGCTCACTTGCACAGGGGCGAATGACTCACTTGCACAAGGGCGAATGGCTCACTTGCACAAGGGCGAATGACTCACTTGCAGAGGGGCGAATGGGTCACCCATCGGGGCAATGTCGATTGGTTTGTGTGGAGTCAAGGAATTGTGTCTCCATAAAGCATTGTTGCCTGAAAGTCTCACCTAAGGTTTCTCTGCTGCACCTCATGGCAACGCAAATGCCCCGCCATGCCATATTGCACGCCGCGCTAGAAGCATCTCATAGATGGGCTGTCACGACATGTTTAGGACCAAGAAGCAAAACAAGAGAGAAAAAACGGAAACAACCCTCACGCTTCTAACCACACTCGCTCCCCGTTGTCCCTGCCTCACCCCTGGGGACATGGCCGGCGTGCTTGAAAAGGGCGCGCTGTAATAGGCGAAGGACGAGCGCAGCAGACAGGCCGAAAAGGCGGAAGAGCTCATGGCGGGGGGTACTGTGGAGGGGGAGGGGGAGGGGGAGGGTAGGAGAAGGGGAAGACGAAGGCGGTAGGGCAATGAGGACATTTAGAAGGGCCTGAGGATTGAGAGGAAAGTGGGGTTTATAAGGTTGTTGGGCAAACAATATGTTCGAACGAGTGAGCATGCGAGCGTGTGCGTGTGCGTGTGCGAGGTCATGCCCGCATGAGAGGGAAAACAGAAGACGAGGACGGTTCGAGAGAGGGTGAGAGAAAGAGGGGGTAAGGAAAGGGGAGGGGGGAAGACGCGGGAACGAGGACGCGCAAAAGAATACACAAGAGTAGACGAAGCACGAGAGTGCTGGGATGTTAGTACGGCACAATGGTGCTGCCAACACACATGGCAGTACTCTTTCCCTCTCGCTCCCTACCTCACTACGTACGCTGCAACCGGGATCCATTGAACATAAATTTAATAAAGTTAAAGCCACCACAGTGTACCTTCCACTTGCGACCCCCTGCCGGCGACGTTTGTCGCTCCCCGCGGGGTAACCAGGCCCGCCACGTCACCACCCCCCTTCGCGGCAACGGATGACGTGGACGTAGTGAATTTTGCGGCGTGCCAGGCTGACGTGGACGATTGCCGCCACTCATGCGCTTTCCCATCCGCCTTACGCGGGCTACCACTACTACCAGGTCGCGTCGACGCCGTGCTAGCGCAGCCGCTGCCGCTGCCGCAGCCGCAGCCGCGATTCTCGCCGAGATCCTCGCCGCGCGATGGCTGTTGTTTCCCCCCGACGAGGAGCCGGCGACCCCGCGAGTCATCCGGCGCCGCCGCCGCCGCCGCCGCTAGCGCTACTACTGCTACTACTGGTGGGTGCGCTTCGGCGGCCGTCGTCATGCTGCTGGCGGGCGCTGGTGCTTCGGACGAGTCGTCGTATGGCGACGGAGAATGCGCGGGCATCTTGCGCGGTGCTTGCGCTTCCGCCGCACAGGATGGACCGGCGGATGCCGCGCAACTTGCTGTAGACGCAGTAGCGACAGAAGCGCCATTCCTACTAGTGGCTGCAGCCGCAGAAGCAGCAGCAGCAGCAGCATGCGGCCATAGCGATTCTTCTCTCGGCTGCCGTCGCACGGCCTGTCGGTTCCACCGCGGGTGGCGCGGCGGCATGGTCAGCACGTCGCTCGCTCGCTCCCGCCACGTGTTGAGCATTCGAGTGCGGCGCGATTGCTAGCTTTAACAGGCAATGCGCACGGCGGCGGGAGTTCCGCTACTAGTAGTAATAGTAGTACTATTAGAAGACGGCGTAGAGGTGATTGTCTCAAGAAGGTAGTTGGCGGGAAACTAACGACGGGGAAGTATTAGTGGTGATGCGGGCAGCGCAAAGCGACGGTCGAGGCAGCTGGAGACTATGAGACGCCGGAAGCGGCGGGTGAAGATATGTCACGGCGGCAGTAGTAGTACTACTACTTAGTAGTAACAGCAGCATCTACTAGGTTATAAGCCTCGCACCGAGCTTGTTTGCTTCGCCGCGTGTCTGATGTTGCGCCGCGAGTGCCGTGAGGAAATCCCTGGCGGGGTAAGAAGAAAGCGGCGGGGGAGTATCCTATACTTCGCGCGCCGAGCGGCCCCCGTTCTAAGGCAAAGATGGCTAGAAGGAACCTGTCGTCGCGACTCACGTTTTTCCGGTAAACGTGATTTACCAAAGAGGGTGTTGTAACGTCTGATGATGTCATACGGCAGATTATTGTCACTACCGTTGTGACCTTGCTTGCTCTGGTGAGCCCCAGCTCGGGAGCTTTACATTCACGGACAGCGATTTTTAGACATTTAACGGACGAGACGTAGCGGACAAGCTGCGACAAGCTGACGGATTATCCTAGAGGCGATTACTGTCGAGGGACAGAGCGCATAAATCCACGAAGAGCTATTATAGTTCCTACCAAGGGAGACACGCCCCGCAGCCCGAGCAACTGAGTTGCTCGTGTGGTTGCATGAACCCTGCGGCCCAAGGTTGTGGAGGAAAATCGATTGGCGGTGCTGCTGAGTGAGCAATGGTCTGGTCGCACGGCACGGAATTCCCAAAGCAGAACAGGAGGGAATGTGGCGGGGGTTTTGCTGTCCAGTGGGGTGTGGAAAGATGGATACCTTGCCAGCTCGTGTGGCGACACGGCGTGGAACTTCCCCATGCAACCCCCATGACAGGACGCGAGGTTTGCTATCCATGCATGCCATGGTCTCTCAGCTGGTGTTTGCAGATACACTTGATTATTGTTAATAACCCATTTCCGGAAAAAGGCACATTCTCCAGACGTAGGATGGTGTGTTCGGTTGTAAAGCACATAAAGGAGCGTGTAAAGTAGGAACGGCAACCCTATCTGTCTGCTCTTCTGCTGCATGCGTCTGATCATTCTTCCCGTGAAGATTTTTGAGAGACTTGATACTCTTCAACTAGAACAAAGCAACATAGTCTTTTCTAGCTTCGCAAAACTGTCGCGTATACAAACAAAAGGTACCTTAGAGAAGCGAGCAAAAACGATATAATCCATAGGGACTAGGGCCAATTTTTAAAGGGAAAATCCCCTGATTAACCTTGCTAGCGACCACTTTCAGGACTATACCCAGATTTTATAAAGATAAAATGGTTTTTTGGCTTGCCCCTAGCACGCTTACGAATCAGGGTGAAATCATAAGAATACTTTGATTTCTAAGGTTGCCCCCAAAACCGATTTTGGGAGCTAATAGGGACCCATCACACGACTCAGATGGCATCAACGCTAAACCTGCAAAAGGGTTACGGGTTTAGGAGTTACACGAACTTAAATGACATATGGGCCCTTATGGATTCTAGTATTCTTGCAATTTGAAGCTCGCATCCCAAATTGCGAGTCAAACAGGCCACACTTTATAACCTTATAATTTAATTTGTTTTTAATTATGTTTATTATTATTATTATTATTACATACGTCGCAAATGCGCTTGATTGCCAAAAATCAAACGTGATATTTCTATAAATTGCATTGCAAGAACTTAAAACGATTGGTCATTGCTATTCGGGACTTTTGCGTCCCCAACCGCTGACTCTGTAAATAAATAAACTACTAGATGTTTATTGAAACCCCACTTTTTGCGACTTCCAACCCATAACAATACCACCCACCAAGTTTGTAAAGCATGAAAAAATTGGGTTACAATCTTTAAGCTTTCTAGATTACTTGGCATTCCGGAGGCTGATATCCGATAGCGTTAACGATCCAGATATGTTGTGTTTTCTGTTTAAAGTTCTGGATATGCATTTAATCCATTCATATTTGGACCCATCCGATATTTTTGACAATATAATTATGTCTTGTATTGCATACATATTATTCGTATCATTATTAATTTTGGTATTATGATTAGCAAGATAATTGTATGTATTGAATTATATATGAACTTAAGATGCATTTATCGAGACTTTGGTATCATAAGTATTGGGAACTAGCTATCAAGGTTTATTGAAAATTGGTAATTAATGTATAATACTTTGTTTTACATTCTTTTGCTTTGAATCCACAAAGTAGGGATTCGTCAGTTGAACTCCCGAACAGATTTGACAGAATGGACTACTAAGTGTAACTGGATACAGTAGCTCAAGGCATCCGTGCATGCGCCACGATCAGACACAAAATCCCCGCTGCGACGCGGAGTTCCTTGCGGGACTAGGAGTGGGCAACGGCACTTTGCTTGAGAGGGAAGAGCCACTGTACACGGTATGTCTGTGTACAGTGACTGAGGGAAATGAGAGAGGCGCAGACAGGTCCGCACCGCACAGCACACACAGTACACAACATGCTGGAGAAGTGTTCACTGTGGGTGGTTTAAACACTAGCAGGGGATGCGTAGTGCCGAGTGTCAACCCTGGGCTGTACGAGGAGGAAGATGACAGTCGAACACGGGCAGCAATATGATGCTGTCTGGTTGCACCTATGGCGTACGCAAATGTTTTGCTTGCCCGACGAAGAAATTTGGGGAGGCCAAGCATTTCCTCGAAGCCAATCACATAACTCTAACGGAAGATAAGTGCCCCCTGATTGGTGGACGTTCAAATCAGCAGGGACAAAACAGCTCGTATTCTTGAAGTAACGAGCCCTCATTGGCTGGGGTTTAGACCACAACTCCACAGCCTATCTGTCTGGACATCCGTGAATGTTTCGCGTGGTCACCCGTGGAGATATCATCCTCGGCTCGAATGCGTATAAGCATCCCTTTTACACTTCTACATTCCTGGGCGTAGAATATAGAATTTCCAGGAACTATACTGTACATAAACGGCATTTCCTTATCCTGAGTTCCAGTATGTAAAGCAACCCCCACTATACATGGGTTTCCGCATTTTTTATCACATTAATCAGAGATGCGTTACCTAAATATGAAATATCCCGAGCCGTATGCGCACTCTTCCCAGTTCGCATTCCTTGCTCGTCGAGGGTTCCCCCCGAGCTCATTTTCTCACCACACGTTCGAGCTCTGTCAAGCTTGCATGTTTTGTTATTTCATAAGCTATATCCTATTTTCGGGACTGTTTTTGTTCTTTCGCGTATTTCGTAAACTCACGAAAGACTCCGGAAATGCCTTAAGTCATTTTATCATTTCCAACAGTTTTGATGCTGCACTGTGTAATCATCTTCAATAACTCAATTTTCATTTCTTGTTGTTTTGTCCTTTTACCGATAAAACTTGCTAGTTCCGCATGGCCCAAATTTGAAGGGTGTTTCATACTGATTACCCTTGCCAGCGGTCGCTTTTTGAGCATTACCCTGATTTTGTAAGGCCACTTTTTCTTCAGACCCTTTCTAAAAAAGTGTGAGGAAAACATTACCATGCTGTAGTAAAAGTGTTCGTTTTATTACCCTGACCAGTCAGGCCACGCCGAAAAACACGCTGAAATGGATAACTCCCAACCCTCGAAATACGCCAACTGTCGAATCTGCCACGTAGTCAGGCAGCCCCGCCCACCAACACCGAATCCCGCGGCACTTTGCACCAACATGGTGAATGCTTTGCGGTACCCTGATTCCCAAAGGTGCCTCTAGAACAATTTTGGGCCCTCGTTCCGCTGTGATAGTGTTTTTTTCTGGGGGGGGGGGGGTTGTTGGGGTGTAGTACGTCCTAGTTTCCCCGCAAAACTGGTGCCTAGGTTTTTTTTCAACGCCTTCAGCCCGGAGCCAGTCTTTGGAGTAAAGTGAGCCAATGCTCGCACTTGTCAAGAAAAAAGATAACTAAGGCAATCCTATCACATGATTATTGTCGTGGCACTGGGATAACCTTGTCGATCCTCTCTCTATCTCTAGGGAGGGTACTGGGGAGGCTTTCCCCGGGGAAGGTGGATATCTGGAGCCTAACCCTGTGATAGTGTTTTTTTCTGGGGGGGGGGGTTGGGGTGTAGTACGTCCTAGTTTCCCCGCAAAACTGGTGCCTAGGTTTTTTTTCAACGCCTTCAGCCCGGAGCCAGTCTATGGAGTAAAGTGAGCCAATGCTCGCACTTGTCAAGAAAAAAGATGACTAAGGCAATCCTATCACATGATTATTGTCGTGGCACTGGGATAACCTTGTCGATCCTCTCTCTATCTCTAGGGAGGGTACTGGGGAGGCTTTCCCCGGGGAAGGTGGATTTATGGAGCCTAACCCTCCTGATGACACACCTTCTTGTCCCAGTGGTTGGGACTGGTGACTTCATGAATTGGTATCAAAGCCATCCGGGGTTCAATTCCTGGTGTACACGCTATCCCACTGGGGGGGTGTGTCGTGGCACTGGGATAACCCTGTCGATCCTCTCTCTATCTCTAGGGAGAGTACTGGGGAGGCTTTCCCCGGGGAATGTGGATATATAGAGTCTTACCCTCCTGATGACATCCCTTCTTGTCCCAGTGGTTAGGACTGGTGACTTTATGACTATTATATCTAAATATGAACCCTAGCCCATATACCGTATCTTCCCGGAAAGGCTCTCAAGTTAGCTTAGGTTAAGAGAAAGGCATAGGAAAGTAGCAAGAGGTTTAGGCTAGGAGAAAATATCGAAAGACAAGAGGGTTGGACTAGAAGAGAGAGGGATACAAGACGCGGGTTGTACCCTCTACAGCAGGATCCAAGATATGCAATACACCTACCTAGCCCATACACACACATATATATATATGTATATATAATATATATGTTGACACACCCCCTAGGCTTGGTAGGCGATACACAGAGAATAGTCCAGGGCAGTACTAGTAGCCTGTCCATTGGTTTTAGTACTAATGCAGGTCAAAAGAAAACACACCATGCATATAGCACACTAAGCCACACACCCCCTAAGCCTAGCACCCCCATACTCAGCAGCAGCGACGGATTCTCTAGCATGGTCAACCCCTCGGCGTGCGAGGCGGCAACGTCGGCAGCGAGGGCAGCGGCTGCAACGGCGGCGGCGGCGGAAGCGACGACAACGGCGGCGAGGCCAGCGGCACCAGCTGCGGCGGCGGCGGCTTCAACGACAGTGCCAGCGGTGGCGGAGCTCGCAGCACTCGGCGGCATGGCCTGACTCCGCGACGGTGGGGAAGGCCCGCGCGAGTCAGCCGTCAGCTGCGGCGAGGAAGAGGGGGCACAGGGGATGGGGGCGGGGCTTCTGCAGCAGAGCCAGAAAGCTTGCCACCTTGTGTGGCGCTCTGGCTGCATGCGGGCGTGCTGGCCAGCGCTAAGAACGGGCGCTGGCCGCTGCCGTCCGTGCGCTGACGCGTCGACGACGCCACGGCAGGACGACGATGCCGCCACGGCAGCATGACATGGCCATGGCAGCTTGGCGAGGTACGGCGGCGACACGGAAGGGTCGGTAGAAGTGCGCGGCGGAAGCGTGAGGAGCAAGCCCGGGACGGGTGACCTGATCTGATACCATGTCACGAAACTAGGTAGCTAGGAAGCCATGAAAATGGCGAAAGGGTTTAGCTAAGAGAGAAGTTACGAGAGAAAAGAGGGTGAGAATAGAAAAGAGAGGCATACAAGGAGGAGGGTTGTACCCTCTAT